GGCACAATCTTGACTCACTGCAACCTCTGTCTCCCTGTTTCAAGGAATTCTCCTGCTTTAGCCTCCTGAGGAGCTAGGATTACAGGCATGTGCCACCACGCCCGGCTAATTTCTGTGTATTTAGTGGTCTCAGGGTTTCATCATGTTGGCCAGACTGGTCTTGAATTACTGACCTCAAATGATCTGCCTGTCTCAGCCTCCCAAAGTGCTAGGATTACAGGCATGAGCCTGTAACAGGCAGGCCTGACCAGTTTTCAGGTTTTTGACTTAAGCAACTAGATAAGTGTCACTCAATCTCCAAAGGCATCATCTATCTTCTATTTCTCCCTTCCCATCCTCCTCCAAATCCAGTCAGAAACTATTAGTCTGGGTTCTCCAGAGAAACAAAACCAATGGGATGTGTGTATATTTAGAAAGAGATTTATTTTAAGGAATTGGCTCACATTATTCTGAGACCTGGCAAGTCTGAAATCTACAGGGCAAGCAAACATGCTGGAGACCCAGGGAGATTTGATGCTGCAGTCTAAAGGCTGAATTGCTTCTTCCTAAGGGTCTCTTCTTAATTTGGACTGACTGGAAATGGCTCACCCTCATTACAGAGGGTAATCTATTTTAATGAACGTCTACTGATTTAAATGTTAATCACATCTAACAAATACATTCATAGCAACAACTAGTGTTTGACCAAAAACTGAGTAACATGGGTACCATAGCCTAGCCATGCTGATAAATAAAATTAACTATTACAGTCACTAAGTTCCACTGACTCTGACCTTTAGATATTTCTCAAATTGGTTTCTTCTTATCCATTGCCATTGCCTTAATTCAGGCTTTTGTTCTTCTCATTTAATTAATTCATAAAATACTTAAGTATTAGGCACTATGCCAAATGTTGGAGTTACAATTGTGAGTAAGATAGATTGTGCCCCTAGGGACTTACTTTTCCTGCCTTCTTTCTTGCCTCCTTCCAGTTCACTGCTTTTTTTCTTTTTGGTCGTGTCACCTTGATGCCCAGGCTGGAGTGCAGTGGCCAGAACATGGGCGACCTCCACTGCCTCAGCCTCCTGAGTAGCTGGGACCACAGGACCACAGGTGCACACCACTACGTCTGGCTATTATTATTATTATTTTTTTTTTGTAGAGATAGGGGTCTCACCATGTTGGCCAGGCTGGTCTTGAACTCCTGGGCTCAAGCGATCCTCCCGCTTCCGTCTCCCAGAGTGCCAGAGCTACACACATAAGCCACTGTGCCTGACTGCAACCCACCTTTATAAATGGCTGCCTGTAGATCATGGCCTCACACATTTTTTTTTTTTTTTTTTTTTTTAGTCTACAGGCACATGCCACCATGCCGGGGTTGTGGGTAACACCCCCTATGCGCACCGAGGAAGGAGAACTGTCCAGACCCCAGGCACAATTAGTGCCTGAAGAATATCTTAGTTTATAGTGTTATTACTCAGCTATTTCCTTTATATAATCCTTTATATATAATCATATATTAGTTTCTAGAATTAGTGCCTGAAATATAACTTACTGCTTACATATACCTAGCTTATATAATAATACTTAATAATTATATCTAGCATACTTAGTTCTATATAATCTTTTTTTTAAATTTAATTTTTATTTTTATTTATTTATTTATTTATTTATTTTGTTTTTTTGTTTTTACCAGAAAATAAACACCAACTTTATTAATATAATAGCAACAGAAAAGGTTTCCAATTTCTAAGAAGGAAATAACATAACACCAGCACAAAAGAGTAAATGCCTACATTTCTTGTTCTGATCGCTTCCCACCACACACCGAAGGTTCCTCAAGACAGTTGCCACCGGAGCTGCTGCAGGAACATGTTTTTCACTGGGCATAGCTTCACAGTCAACTCCTCAAGCAGAAGACTAAAATATTATTTCTTTTTAGAAGATCTTGGTTGTTGAAGAACATATCAATATGGAGACAAGATCTTTGCTTCTCAAATTCAAGAAACACTACTAACTAATGTATCAATTTTTCTCTGATAGTGTGCCAGAGTGCTCTGTGAAGAATCCTTTTCCATCCATACCCCATGTTTGGGTGAGAGGAGAGTGGAAAGCTGCCAGTACACTAGCAGACATTCCTGGTGATGCTCTGTGCTCTGCTCCCTTTCCGCTGGTAGTAGTAGGTCTCTTTTCTGGTAGCTGCAGCACCTTGATGTGGGGGGAAGGAAGGGGCCACCAACGAATCACCTCTTCTTGAAGCCATATTTTTTGCGTTCATAGAAGAGATCTGTCTTAGAGCTCCCCAAATTAACAATCTTTGGGCAGCCATCTCTATCCTTCTCCTGGATGGTACACTCCTTACAATAATAGGCATCAGAGACCCCAGGGCCTCCACAGATCACACAGCGCCCCTGGTAAGATCCATAGTTACACTCATCACATACGCGAACCAGAGTGCAGGGACGCACATAGGAGTCACAAATCACACACTTGCCATCACTAACACCAGCCTGTTTCTGGCAAAAAATCAAATCAGGATGATGTTTAGCCATAGTTCCCAACGAAGCCGGCCACCGGCAATTTTTATTTTTTATTTTATTTTATTTTTTGAGACAGAGGTTCGCTTGTTACCCAGGCTGGAGTGCAATGGCACGATCTCGGCTCACTGCAATCTCCGCCTCCTGGGTTCAGGCAATTCTCCTGCCTCAGCCTCCCCAGTAGCTGGGATTACAGGCACGCGCCACCATGCCCAGCTAATTTTTTTGTATTTTTAGTAGAGACGGGGTTTCACCATGTTGACCAGGTTGGTCTCGATCTCTTGACCTCGTGATCCACCTGTCTCGGCCTCCCAAAGTGCTGGGATTACAGGCTTGAGCCACCACGCCCAGCCTAAATTTAATTTTTTAACAACAACAACAAAAAAATGGGGTTTCACCATGATGGCCAGGCTGGTCTTGAACTCCTGACCTCAGGTGATCCACCCACCTCAGCCTCCCAAAGTGCTAGGATTACAGGCGTGAGCCACCACGCCCAGCCTATATAATCTTTCTATATTCATATAGGTATTGTAGTCAGAGCTGTACTGACACATTTAGTACTGATTTATAGAATCCTTCTATATAACCAGTTTGTAGTTTGTAGTAGGAGGAATGCCTAGAACAGTCACATAACAGAAGCAGTACATGGGAAAACAGCCAGACCAGGACAAGAACCAAAGACCCAGGTGGTGGTATCCCTGCCTGAAAGGGCATACACTGTACAGCAGGCTTGGAGTAAGAGCCTCTCCTCCGATAAAGGAGTTGTAGTATCTTGCATCCAGTTCCTGTGGTAAGTAGGCCTCAGGCCTGAGAAAATAACAGGGAGAAGAACCCCTCTGGTGTGACCAGTCATGGCAGCTGTACACCCTGTCAGTCTTTTCTCACTCTGTGCTAGCTCAAATCATCCTCCCATAAATATCTTAAGAGAAGAGCGCAAGTTTGTCAGCTCCCACTGCATTGGCTTACAGTATCCTTCTATTAGAAATCCTTTGAGGTCTTCAGCCCCCAGATAAGAAGTGTTGTGCACAACACCTGTTGCACACAGCCCACCTCCTTGCCTCGGTGACCTAATGGGGGTGGACCCCTTTTCTGTACACGACCCTCTACTACTGCACACAGCTTGGCCCCCTACTGCGCACGGCCCACCTCTCTGCCCAGGTGACATAATGGGGTGGCACCCTCACTTGTGACTCATGTGATTATGCCCTATTACTAAGCCTATAGATGATGACCTCACTCATGACCCTGCCCTATGCTTGTATCTAATAAATACAGATGCTTCTGGGCATTTGGGACCCCCGCTGATCTCTGCTCACAGGTGGCATGGCCCCCAAAGTCCAGATGCTCTTCACCAGTGTCCTGTCTCTTTGCTTCTTGGATCCTACACCTCAGCACAGCATAAGGGACACCCCACGACCCTGTGGGGCCCAACAGCCCTACAGGGGTAACTTTTGTATTTTTAGTAGAGATGGGTTTTCACCCCATTGGCCAGGCTGGTCTCGAACTCCTGACCTCAGGTGATCCACCCGCTTCAGCCTCCTAAAGTGCTCAGATTACAGGCATAAGGCACTGGGCCTGGCCGAAGGACCATCTTTATAAAACATTTATTTGTAGACTCTGAAAAGATACACCAGAAAGGAGGAACAGTGGTTACAGCTAGAAAGAATAGAGTGAAGAGGCTGATAACTGTACCTTGTTGTTTTTTTTATTTTATTTTTATTTTTTTTATTTTTATTTTTTTTTATAGAGCCTCACTCTGTTGCCCAGGCTGGAGAGCAGTGAGGTGATCTTGGCTCACTTCAACCTCTGCCTCTCGGGTTTAAGTGATTCTCCTGAGTCAGTCTTCCGAGTGGCTGGGGTTACAGGTGCCCACCACCACCCGGGTCAATTTTTGTGTATATATATATTGAGACGGAGTCTTGCTCTGTCGCCCAGGCTGGAGTGCAGTGGTGTGATCTCGGCTCACTGCAACCGCTGGCTCCCAGGTTTCTCCTGCCTCAGCCTCCCTAGTAGTTGGGATTACAGATGCCCACCACCACACCCAGCTTATTTTTGTTTTTAGTAGACACAGGGTTTTACCATGTTGGCCAGGCTGGTCTCGAACTCCTGACCTCAGGTAATCCGCCCACTTCGGCCTCCCAAAGTGCTGGGATTACCGTGTGAACCACCACACCCGATCAATTTTGGTATTTTTAGTAGAGATGGGGTTTCACCATACTGGCCAGGTTCGTCTGGAACTCCGACCTCAAGTGCTCGCCTCTGCCTCTGGAAGTGCTGGGATTACAGGCGTTGACACACCACGTCCTGCCTCCGTACCCACCCCGTCATCACATGAATGTTGTACCAAGTTCGTGTATTACATATTTGAACGTAAATTGCGAATACAACAAAAACAAAATCCATGAACTGACTAGCGCTTTAAAATTCTGCGGGGGAACCCAGTGTGGCCCAAGGGTGGAGTTTAGCCCATCTTGCCCTTTCTGGTTAGTGTACTTGTTCCGTTTATCTCCGACTGGGCCACTCAGTCAGGTGAGGGACCACTGGAGTTTTTTCTATCGGACACGCAGTTGAGCAAATGTCACTTGCTCTCTCCAACTTCAGTTTCGCTAGCGCCTACCTCAGGAAGCTTTCCTTCATCTCCCGGCCCCTGCCGCCGCTAATGTTATCCTTTTACATTCAACCTCATAATGCTGCTTTCTGTTGCAGTCATCACAGTGCCGAAATTTATTCACATGTCTATCTTTGCTACTTGACTGAGGACAAAGATACACCTTATACCTAGCATAGACCCAGGAGGTCCGAAATTGTTCTGCGAAAGAAAAAAAGGTGCTGGCTTCAAAGGGGCTCACAGGAAGGGAAAAGCCTCGAAGACTGAGGTTCTCTTCGATCTCTTCATTACTAACGCAAGGCAAACATGCCAGGGACGTGCGGCTCTCCCCTCTCGTTCCTGCATCTGCGTCCCGCGCCCTCCAGATTCCAGAGAGGTCCCCTCCACCTAGCGCGCGACCCCGGAAGCCCGGCCACAACCCTCACCGGCGGGCATGGCCTCAGGGCCCTCTTCTGAGCGCGGCGTGGGTATTCGCTGGCGGCCATGGACAGTGATCACAGTGACCAGAGGGACAGCGCACCCTTGGGTATGAGCGGGGTAGGCATTGGCAGGGGAGGGGCGACGAAGACTGGCGAGGTTCAGGCGCCAGGCAAAGGACCGCTCTATTAGCTTCCCGGCCCTTAGGTTTCCTGCTCGGGCCCAGAGTCGGCGGCTGTCTCTCAGCTCCACGAACTCCAGTACTACTCTGCGTTGTAGGGACCTGCACGCCGGACCCAGAACTCCTATGCCTCCTACGCCCCCTGCGCCCCTCTCTCCGCCCCTCCTTGCGCTCCTCCCTGCGCCCTTTCCTCCGCCCCTCCTTGCGGCCTTCCCTCCGCCCCTCCCTGCGCCCCTCCCTCCGCCCCTCTGCGCCGCCGGCCGCGGACCACGCCCCCTTCTTGCCTGCGCGCGTCGCCGCCGCCGCCTGAGGGGGCGTGGCCTCAGCTCAGCGCACGGTCAGCCACGGTCCCAGCCTGCTCCGCGCTGGCCAACGAGAGCAAACCCAGTGACTCACCTCCGCGGCGCTAACTGCTGGGTAGCTCTTCCCCCTCACACACGCTCACACCCGGCTCGAGATGGCGGCGGCGGCGGCGGGGGACTCCGACTCCTGGGGTGAGGAGAAGTTCCGGGGGCAGGGCCCGGGCTGGTGCCGGCCCCACGCCGTGGCAGGCACTAACGCGGCTTGCTCTCTTCCGTAGACGCGGACGCATTCTCGGTGGAAGACCCAGTGCGGAAGGTTGGGGGCGGCAGCACTGCCGGCGGGGACCGCTGGGAAGGCGAGGACGAAGACGAGGACGTCAAGGTGGGTGCGGGCTAGGGCAGCGGGCAGCGCGGGAGCGGCTTGGCGCTGTCGCGGGCCGATTATGGGCCCTGGGGCGCCGCCCTGGCCTGCGGGCTGTGGATCCGGGCGCGAGCCTAGGGCCCGGCGGTGCTCCCTTTACCTCCGCTTGCCGGCCATGTGGGCCGAAGACTGGCAGCTTGGCCTTCCGGACTCTCTCGCCGGTTGAGGGTCTGCGCTCCGGCCTTTATCCCATCCGCCGACTGGCGACGAAAAGTGACAGCATCGGCCAGGTCGGCCCACGTGCAAGCTTCACGGGCCTGAGCCCCTCGCCTGAATGAGACCAGGAAGTTGGGAATTGAGCCCCGTATTTTATCCATATGGAAAGTTTTGAAACTCGCCTGCCTTTTTGAGCTCAGGTCATCCCAGGGCCAGTAACTCATTTGTGACCCTGACGTCTACTTAGACAGTTTGTTCGAGGGATTAAATGAGTGAAATACTGTAGTTGAATTTCAACCTTTTATTCCTCCACACTGGACAGCTAGAAACAGTAAAGTGAAATAACTTTTGGCTCTCCCTTCCCTCACTCTGTCCATGATAAAAAGGATGAACTGAACACTGAGCCCACAGTTAGTGGACAGAAACCTGGGTAGTCCACACTGTGACCCGAAAAATGGAGAAGTGACAGTCATCTACACACGTATGACACCTAAGGAAATATTGAAGGTTTGGTGGTTGTAGTAGATGACGGTCCTCTGGTTTTTGTTGTTGTTTTGTCTATGCCTTGTAGATAATAATTTTTACCTCAGTCGTTTGATTTTGAAAACTCCTAAGGGCTCATTATACAGCATTGTGACATTTACTTCTGCGTGGTTTTTTTTTTTTTTTTTTTTTTTTTTTTTTTAACAGTAGTTAACATGTCTAAAGTCCAGAATGTTAAGATTCTTACCAGGTTCTCAAAATCTTTGTGCAGACAAAGTTTTGTGTGAAGTGGAAAATTTTCTTTTGTAGTTTTGTTTAATTTAGTGAAGTTTTTTCTCCTAATTTATAAGCACTAATGGAGAATCCTATAAATCCTTTTGCCTTGGCTGAAAAATTTAAGCTAGATAATCATTATGAACTTAATAGGGCCATTGCTTTGAGTTTTTCCCGTTTCTCCCCAGTCAGATGAGGTTGGATGTGTGGATGTCCAACTTATTGACAGCCTGAGGTTCAAGAATGTCGTAAGCTTTGCACACATTGAAGTTAATAAATCGACTGATTATTGTTTGAAGAGACTTAGATGCTTTATTTACATGTTGTAGAAACATGGGACTAGATTGTCCATGTGTTACCAACCTCATTACAAGATATTAGTTACCCCCTTACATTGTAGCAATTTTCACTTTTGAGCCTTGGGTTCATATTGGTCCTTTAATTTTTTTCCATGCATATAGGAAGTAGCAGTTAGGACGTCTGTTATGAAGTTTGGGAATAAATTAACAAATGGAGAGAAAAGATTAGAGATACTAGGAAAGAAGTTGCAGAAAATGAAGTTTTAATGGAATGGTCTAGACTAATGTCGTGGAATAACCTCCCTGGGATTAAGGAATCTTGATGTTGATCCTGATGAATATAATTCTCATGACTTGCAACAAGTTTTGGAGATTTAGAAGTTTTTTTTTTTTTTTTTTTTTTTTTGGCGCGGAGTTTCACTCTTGTTACCCAGGCTGGAGTGCAATGGCGCGGTCTCGGCTCACTGCAACCTCCACCTCCTGGGTTCAGGCAATTCTCCTGCCTCAGCCTCCTGAGTAGCTGGGATTACAGGCATGCGCCACCATGCCCAGCTAATGTTTTGTATTTTTAGTAGAGACGGGGTTTCACCATGTTGTCCAGGATGGTCTCGATCTCTTGACCTCGTGATCCACCCGCCTCGGCCTCCCAAAGTGGGAGATTTAGAAGTTTTTTTTTTTTTTTTTTTTTTTTGAGACGGAGTTTCACTCTTGTTACCCAGGCTGGAGTGCAATGGCGTGATCTCGGCTCACCGCAACCTCCGCCTCCTGGGTTCAGGCAATTCTCCTGCCTCAGCCTCCCTAGTAGCTGGGACTACAGGCGTGCGCCACCATGCCCAGCTAATTTTTGTATTTTTAGTAGAGATGGGGTTTCACCATGTTGACCAGGATGGTCTCGATGTCTTGACCTCGTGATCCACCCGCCTCGGCCTCCCAAAGTGCTGGGATTACAGGCGTGAGCCACCGCGCCCGGCCAATTTAGAAGTTTTAAGGGACCACAAAGATCATCTTGTCCAGTTGTTCTTTTAGTCCTACATTTCTATTTTTTTTTTTAAATTTAAGCTAATTGTATCTACCTCTGTCTATCTATCTAATCCTTTGAGACAAGGTCTTACTCTGTCGCCCAGCCTGGAGTGCAGGGGCTTGATAACTACGCTCACTGCAACCTCCGCCTCCCAGGTTGAAGTGATTTTCCAACCTCAGCCTTCCTAGTAGCTGGGATTGCAGGTGTGTATGCCATGGTGCCGAGCTAATTTTTGCTTTTTTTTTTTTCCCTCTCTTGGAGAGACAAGGTTTCGCCATGTTGCCTAGGCTCGTCTCAAATTCCTGAGCTCCAAGTGATCTGCTCGCCTTCACCTCCAAAGTGCTGGGATTACAGGTGTAAGCCACTGTGCCTGGCCTATTTATTTTGAGGGGTTATGAGACTGGCTAATTTTTATGTTTTTAGTAGAGATAGGGTTTCCCCATGTTGCCCAAGCTGGTTTCGAACTCTTCGGCTCAAGTGACCTATCCTCCTAGGCCTCCCAAAGAGCTGGGGTTATAGGCATGAGCTGCCACGCCTGGCCATATCACCAAATTTCTGAATTCTTAGGTTTTTGTACTTTTTGTGAGGAGTTGTAGACAAGGCTTAGTTTCCATGAGGTCTTCTGTTTATGTCAGAAGTACTTAACCTTTAAAAATACAGGTTTGGCCGGGCGCGGTGGCTCAAGCCTGTAATCCCAGCACTTTGGGAGGCCGAGGCGGATGGATCACGAGGTCAAGAGATCGAGACCATCCTGGTCAACATGGTGAAACCCCGTCTCTACTAAAAAAAATACAAAAATTAGCTGGGCATGGTGGCACATGCCTGTAATCCCAGCTACACAGGAGGCTCAGGCAGGAGAATTGCTTGAACCCAGGAGGCGGAGGTTGCTGTGAGCCGAGATCACGCCATTGCACTCCAGCCTGAGTAACAAGAGCGAAACTCCGTCTCAGAAAAAAATACAAAAAAAACCAGGTTTACTGTCATTTGTAATGTCCTGGGAAATGAAAGGAAAACTGATGTCTTTGTTATTATAATTTGCTCCAGCACTTTATTATCATTTAGTAGACCTAGTATTTTGCTCTTCTTGACTTTTCAAATAGCTATCTGGCAGTGGCAGAAGTAGACTTACGTGAAACTGTGCAACTGTTAATATATATAGAGAGAAAAGGCTATGCTCTTTCCCAGTTGGGAGCAGACTTTTCCATTACCCTGGCTTTATTTACCTTTTTTACTATCCTGATAGTTGTGAAGAGGCAATGGAAAGAATTGTTCACTTGGCATATATGACTCTTTCCCCATTGCTTATATGATATGTAGGATGTGTTGACTGAGAAGGCAGTGAGTACCTACTGGAAGCAAAGACAGCATAACTTTAACTATAGTTTACTAGTCTCGCAGCATGTTAGAAGCTACACTTATTCAAAGAGTACAGCATTTGGAGAAACTTAAAGCTGTATTCAACCATCTCAGGCATTTGCTTCTGTAACCATACAGCATTTCTTTTTTTTTTTTTTTTTGAGACAGAGTTTTACTCTTGTTACCCACACTGGAGTGCAATGGCGTGATCTCGGCTCACTGCAACCTCTGCCTCCTGGGTTCAGGCAGTTCTCCTGCCTCAGCCTCCTGAGTAGTTGGGATTACAGGCCTGTGCCACCATGCCCAGCTAAAGCATTTCTTTTTTTTTTTTTTTTTTGAGGCGGAGTTTCGCTCTTGTTACCCAGGCTGGGGTGCAATGGCGCAATCTCAGCTCATCGCAACCTCTGTCTCCTTGGTTCAGGCAATTCTCCTGCCTCAACCTCCTGAGTAGCTGGGATTACAGGCACGCGCCACCATGCCCAGCTAATGTTTTGTATTTTTAGTAGAGACGGGGTTTCACCATGTTGACCAGGATGGTCTCGATCTCTTGACCTCGTGATCCACCTGCCTCGGCCTCCCAAAGTGCTGGGATTACAGGCTTGAGCCACCGCGCCCGGCTTCAAGCATTTCTTTTGAAAGAGCATGAAGAGGCTGAGGCAAGAGGATTGCTTGAACCTAGGAGTTTGAAGCCAGCCTGGGCAATGTGGCAAGAGCCCAACACATTTAAAGAGAGAGCGATCCTAAGGAACAGACTTAGTTGAGTCTGTCTCATCCTACTTGTTAACCCTCTGTTAGGATCCTATTTTAATAAACAGTTTAAATCTACCAGATAAGGACATTTTTCTTTTTTTTTTTTTTTTTTTTTT